CTCTCTCTCTCTGGGCGTCAGACCCACATTGATTGGCCCACAGCGTTGGGCGGCTGGAAAGAGTCATATAATGTGTAAATCATACGCAAGTCGATGTGGATGGAAGCAGAGAACGGACGGACCAGCGGTCGGAGAAAAAAATAAATAAATACTGAACTGATTGTTTATAAAATATAAAACGAAAATATTTCTGAGGCACAAAACAATGTGTGTTTGGAACATCAGCAGAGAAGAGGAGAAGATGAACAATAAGTCCACAACAGAACAATGGAAAACTAATCTGAGTGTGTGTGTGTGTGTGTGTGTGCAGTGCATTCCAATTAAAGTGCGTCTCCATCATACAATCTAACAGACGACAGGAGGATTTCTTTCATCTGGTTTTACTTCACTGCCCCTCCCCTCCTAAACCCAGTCCCTCCTCCAATCACAGCCCAAGGCAAATGGAGAAACATGTCGTTAATTTTTTTTTTTTTTTTAGAACATACAGAGTCATTTTTACTCTTCCATCTCCTGATCTTTAAGGTCTGGACCTCCTCTGAAGGACCTTCTGTTCTGAGACCTACTGTTCTCCTCCAGTTACAACAAAGAACATCTACGACACTGTTAAATTCATCTGATCAAATTTGAACGCCGTGGCCGAAAGTCTTCAACCTCAGGCCAGCGGCCCGACTTCTGTCCGACCAGACTGACGGGTCAGGACAGTTGGTAAGTTTACGACTGACTGGACACAATCGTCAAAAAGATCATGATGAAATATAATGAATTATAATTACATAGATTAATCAAATAACATTAATTTAATGTGCTATAGTAATTGTAAATTTTAAATAATAATAAAAAACAAAGACTTCTTTCGAAGAAAAAATCAATCTCAAAGTTAATAAACCAGTTACGTCTGTTCACGTCAACAAAACTGTCGCCTCAGTCGTAACAACAGTCAAAACAGTAGAAAAATAAAAAACACAGGATCAAAATCACACTCCTGACGTGTGAGTGTGAAGTTACTAAGAAAAAGAGCAATATTAAATTAATCTTCAACAACGTAGAAATATTGGACTCTCGAGGAGTCGGCGTAAACACAACACTGCACCGAGGACCTGATTGAAGTCCTGACGTTACACTTGTTATTGCAGAGATACAGGCACAACTGAACACACGTTTAAAAGGGTCAATTGAGTCACTGAGAAGCAAAAATGATGAATAGCGCCACCTAAAGGCAGTACTGGGAAATTCTCCCACCAAGAACATTCTCAATGTATTTTTTTTTAAGTAAGCAACACGTCTGAGGTTGTTCTGGAGAATGTTCTGGACCGTCTCTGTCCTTGTTTGTGGTTGCTATGGTAACAGCAAACAGGAATTTGCATAAAGTAAACCTATTGGTCAACCGTCGTGATCACATGAGGATTAAAAACTCCAGACGATCCATTTAAAGGTGAAACATGTGCGATTCAACTTTGGACATTCATGCGATTAATCGTGATTAAATGTTTTTATCGATACACGCGTCAAACTAAAACAACAAAGTTACAACAAAAAAAATTTAAAATTAAGACTATGTGTTACCTTCACAGTAAGGATGGGAATCAAACTCACAACCGCAGACAGGGTTTACCGTAGGTGAACGACACAGACGGACGTCAACAGGCATTTGAACGTCCGTGGAAAACTGAGTTCATTTAACACTTTAGTTTCACTGAGGCACGACTCTGTCCTGAAGGTGAGGAGGAAACGTTCTACAGCACGACGTTTGAAGAGGAAAAATAAAATGATCAGGCATTATCAGGAAGAACGCACTCAAAATGACAAATGTGTGTGTGTGTGTGTGTGTGAGAGCTCGTCCTCTTCTTCCTTGGTTTACACTGCGCTGAGGTAACGTCGCTCACGGACCAATGAGGCGACGCCGACAGCCAGACGCTCAACACTTCATCTTCCTTCACCTTTTTCTTCCTCTTCCTCCGTGTCTTCTGAAGACCAGGCGACCAATCGGCTGCAGCTCGACTCAGAGGAACCGCCCTCCCTTTGATGCTGCTTCTCACACTCCCTGTGTGTGTGTGTGTGTGTGTGTGTGTCCAGGCTGTTCCAGTGCTGACAGTGCACCACTTCATCCACCAGTCTGCCCAGGACTCCGTTGTTATTCCGTCCACGCTGCAGCTCATTTTCTCTGTTTGTGGAGCGAAATAAAACAACGACCCTCCTCTTAGAACACACACACACAGACACAAAACAAAGTTCTACAATCACGACGCTGTCATCGGGCCTTCTGCAGTTTCATCTTTTCTCCCATAGATGCTCCCATTGAGCTACGTTCACCGCGACGACCTTCAAAAGATTCAGGTTATACTTCTCTTATCTAACGGATTCAGCCAGCAGGGGGAAATTAGGAAGAAAAAGTGCATCATGGGTACTGTTATGTGGCATCCGGCCAGTTACTCGCAGCTAAGGTGAGGAGTTGTGATTGGTCGGCTTCGGTTCCCCTCTGCTGACTTCATTAGATCAAGGCGTCGTTCTGAGGAGCAGCTTCAACACTGGGAGTCGTAGCTGTTGTCCTTGTCCAGTCTGATGGTCATCATGGGATCGAACGCCTGCCCCGCACCTGGGTACAGCTGGTTTTGCTTGGGACTATGGATCAGATTATAGCTGAGGTTTGTGTTCTGGTAGCAGTTCTGCTGAGCTGGCAGATTTGGATGTGGGCTGCTGTGGTAGGCCACTGAATGATGATGCCCACTGCCCGTCGTCTTGGCCGCCCGGTGGTAGCGATGGCAGCACAGTATGACCACCACCGTTACAGTGACCAGCAGCATGACGGCACCCACTCCCGCCAACACATAGTACCAGAAGACGGGGACGGGCTGCGCCACCACCGTGTCTACTGTAGGCTCCATCACAGACATGGCACCCCCTGGAGGGCAGGAGGACACATTACTGTTGGGCTCTGTTGACGGGTGAGGCAGGCATGCAGGCTGTAGCGCAGATACCTAATGCTCACCAAACCAGTAGCTGAAGCACTTTCACCACTAGGTGGAACCAAGCCTGTCAAGCCTGTGGGTTTGTAAATCTTGGCCGTCGTGTATTTACGCATATTTTGTGACGCGTAACCTACGCAGTAAAAATGCAAATCTGTCTTTGGCCATTCAGCAAAACTCTGAACATATACGTCAGGGCCTTGGCAGGCAGCGCCGCGACCTGGCTCCGCACTTACAGCCGGTACATTACCTGTAATATTCCTACTTCATGTTAGCAAAATGTATGGTTTGAAAATTTACAGCTAATGCTAATGTGAAAAGTTTCCAGGAACCGGGAGAAGGTCATCCCATCCATTAATCTGTGATGGATTTTAAACTTCCAGGCTACAGAGTCGGACGTCGCCGGATCGGCTCAAGGACACGCTAGGAATTACTTATCGCTAATCAGAGTTCGCCGCTGAAAAAAAAAAAAAAAAAAAAAAAATCTTCCATACATAAAAGACTAAGTCCATGTTTTATCTGGTTCAACTATGACACTGTGTTTCTGCCAAACCACAACCACTGGCTGCTGAGGTTCATTTTTTAAAATTTATCTTTGTCTTCAGTTTGTACATTTATCATCGCGTTAGAAGAAATTACGAAGAAATAACGTCGACTTTTAGGTCAATGTACGACTCTAAAATATGACAAGAACGAAAAGCTTGACAGGCCAAATCTACCAAATACAACCAGGCAGGAACAAACACGCGGTGCAGGGGCCTGTCGTCGGTCCCAAGCATTAGCTGACACGCAGAGGCTCATGCCATGCGTTCACATTCGATGCAAAGCCTTGTTGCCAAGTGACTCACCCACTTCGACAAAGGTTGGGTGGGGGGTTGTGTTGGGGGAGGAGGGGG